AACCACTTGGCCACGGGGCCGGCCCCAGGCTATAGTATTCTTACTCATATTGCTTTGTCATATGGTTTTAGTAGCTTTATTTAACATTGTCAATATATTCTCACACTGTAAACAGCATTAATTAAGTGAATTTACAACCTTTTATTTAAATGAAATCAACTGAGCCTACTTTTAGAAAAAGTAAATCCCATCTTGGATTAAAATAGTTATTTAACAGAAATGTATTATGCTGCCTTATGAATTTTTTAAATGTATGAAAAGGAAAGAAAGTAAGCTAAGCTTAACTGCCTGTTTGTTTCTCAAGAAAAGCTTGCTAAAAGTCGTTTCTAGCTTTAAATAGGGGAGCAAACTACTCTCACTCATCCCATATACCACATATCATACCTTACTAGCACCCTCTATAGCAGAAACTATGAGAGGTTTTTTAGGCCTACTTGGAAAGGGGAAAAAGGCCAGGGGGAAATCAAACAGGAAATTTTACAATAAGAAAAAACCCTGAAGTTTCCTCTGCTACACTCCCACTTGCATTAGAGTAAACATCCTTTGTGGGAAAGGGAAACCACAGAGCTTAGGGGAATAAACTGGCTGAAATCAACAAATCCATAGAAAAATTATTACTCTTTACTCAAAAGAGACCATTATTATTGGGTCATTATATCTAAAGCTCATGGATCATGCTAATGTACCATAGGCTGTAGAAATCATTTTTACACAGGACTTCTCTGAGACCTGAAAATCATTTCAAAAGTTTCTCTAGGGTAAAAAGATTGAGATTTGCGGTGATGAAAACGTCTTGAAACTACTAGTTCGAGGTGATAGTTGCAGAACACTGAGAATGTACTAAATGCCACTGAATTGCACACTTTTAAATGGTCAATTTTATGTTATATGAAGTTTACCTCAATAAAACAACAACAACAAAACACTGAAGGCAGCTGACTAGGATCTGTTGAGGCTTTCGGAAGTGTGAGAGACTAGATCTGGCCTTGAAGGAAGATGCAGATCTGACTTTAAAACAGAGGCAAGAATTGGTGGAGATGGCTCTACTGAGCGTGTTTTTCCAAACTCTGATTGTAACCACAATAACAAATAGATTTTAGTGCAACCCAGTCCACACACACACGTGACAGGAAAAAAGGTTCGTGAAACAATACTTACTCTTCCCAAGCATAATACATTCTGATTTTTTATTCTATTCTATTCTGTTTCTTTCTTTCCTTTTTTTTTTTTAAATTCATTAATGATTTCACAAAGTGAGTGGCAAATTCCAATAGCCTCAGGTGTCAGGCTAAGGGGTTTGGACTCAATACATGTTATTTTAAGGCAATGGCATTGACCGCTAAGAACGTAACCAGGAATCTGTAGGCAGAGTTTTAGATTGGGAAAACTCTCTACCTTGTAAATAAACTGATTGTTTTATGATTATATTTGTCGTTGGGCTAAATTTAAATCGACTTATCTAACATCACATGATGGAAGTCAATATGTGTACTATGTATTACTCATAGTGTTTTTCTCTTTCAGTCGTTTATCATTTAAATCACTGGTAAATTTCCCAAAGAACAATTTTCCTTATATATCAATATGCACGCTTATATTAGTCTAGATAAAAATAAATTTCAAGGTATTGCTCGCACCTTTTTGTAAGAGAGACAGAGAGATTCCGAATTTGTTTTATTTTACTGTTGTGAATTCGAACCATTTTTTTTTCTTCTTAAGCAAACAGTTGCTTCACTATAAATTAGATGATGGACTATTTACAACAACCCCTCCTAAGATGGTGCAAGGCAGCTTCATAAAAAACAAAGTGGGCTCCTGATCACTCATTAGAAGGCCTTCAGGATCAGCTATACAACCACCTGCCCAAAATGCTGTAGAAAGCATTTTCAGCTTTGGCTGGAAATGTCCCTTTTAACTTGACTATCTTATCATTTTTGATAATATGCCCGAGATTTTCTTAGCTCAATACAAATGCAGCATGTAAATGGTTGGAAAAAGATGCTGTGTGTCTGGAATGTAGCTATGATCTTTCCCCAAGGTTTTCAATTAATTCACATCAAAATCATTTTAATGTCATCAATGGTACGAATGCTTATATTTTAGAAAGCACAATACTTCCTGTATTTCAGAGACAGAAGTGCAGGTTGCATATCGCCTAGCTGTGGACAGAAATCAATTTGTTCTCATGACTGACTACCAGCAGCTAATTAAGGCGGGGAACAAGCACCTTTTTAATTTCTAAGAAAAAGCAGTAAAAGCTAGCTTAAACCCAAACAGCCAGTAATTATGCTATCTCCAGGTGGTCAAGGTTTTTCACTTGATAATTTAATTCAGCAAGCCAGGCTCTGTAAGGGGTTGGGGGCTTGGTAAAAATGCCATATTTGACTTTACTGACTTCCTGACCATTCTGTGCCAGAAAGCATGCAAATTTTTTAACTAAATACAAGTTTTTAAAACAAAACTAATTTTTTGGCAACACACAGTACATTTAGTACCAAGGCTAGTGTAACAATTTTTTAATGTAGCCACCTGATTTGGACACATACTAGGATACTCAATGTATAAATACTGACTTGTTGAATGACAGCCCAAGGTATCTAATAAGTATACTGTTATTCCCTGATTCATACACATGCACGCATGCACACACTTCTGTTGGTCTGAGGCATAAAGTAAATAAATAATTTTTTAAATACACTCACGAGTCTAGAAGCAGACCCACACGTATTTGGATACTTGATTTATGACAAAGGTAGCTCTACAGAGAAGTGGAGAAAGGGCTGGCCTTTTCCAAAAACGTGCTAATGTCAAGACAACAGGCCCCAAATGGAGTCGCTTATGCTAAGCCTCACATCACCAAACTGAAACTGAACTTACAGTTTCAGCTTTTCCAGAAAGAGAATCTTAAACCTGCCAATCATGAATCATCGCCTGATCAGCATTAGTTAGGTAACCCGCCTGATAAACCCCTGCCATCCCCTAAAGGAAAGTAACCTTACAATAATCAAGCCAACTTCTGCCTAGTACAACTTCCTTATTCCCGCTCCCTTCCACCTATACAGTCTCTTGCCTTATATAGCCAGTTCTTCGGAGCTCCTTTCTATCTGCTAGGCTGGATGCTGCCCGATTCATGAATCGCTGAATTAAGCCAATAAGATCTTTAAAATTTACTCAGTTGAACTTTGTTCTTTAACAGATGGTTCTGGGTCAACCCAATATCCACATGGGAAAAAAATACAACCTGACCCCTCCCTCTTTTCATACACACACACACAAATTTCTTCTAGTTAGATTATAGATCTAACTGCAAGTTTGTAAAAACAACAAAATTCCAGAAGATAACACAGGAAAACATCATCGTGAACTTGGTGTAAGGAACTATTTCTTAAATAGGAAACAAAAAGCACTAATCCAAAGCAAAAATTATTCATCACAAACACCATTAAGAGAGTGAAAAGGCCAACCAAAGACTAGAAGATATTTACAACACATCTATCTGACAAAGGAGCCATATCCAAAATCTATATAGAACTCCTACAAATCACTAAGAAAAAGGCAGGCAACCCAGTAGAAAATTAGACAAGAGACAGGCACTACACAAAAGAGAATATCTAAATGACCAATAAGTGTGTAAAACGTCCTCAACTTTGTTAGGAAATCCGGGAAGCACAGATTAAAACTGCAGAGTTGCACTACATCCACTGATCAAAATAACTAAAGTCTAAAAGATTAACAATATCAAGTGTTAGAAACAACATGGAGCAATAGGAACATAAAATGCTGGTGGGGAATTTAAATTGAAATAATCACTTTGACAGTGTCTACTAAAGCTGAACATATGAATACCAGATGATCTAGCAATTGCACCAAGAGACATGAACAAGAACAGGCACAGCAAACTATGCTTAATAACCCCAAACCAACTCTCTGTCAAGAGTAAAATGTGTCTATCAATGATGTGACACTCACACAATGGAACACTATAGAGCAATGAAAATGTACAAACTACCTCTACAGACAGCCACACGAACAAATCTCAGAAACAATGTTGAGCTAAAAAAAAAAGCCAGTCACCAAAGAATAAACATTGGACATTTCCATTGATAAAAAGTTCAAAAGCAAGCAAAATCGAACAATAGTGACAGCAGCCAGGATAGCGGTTACCTTTAGAGAGTAGGGAAGTGGTAATGACCAGGAAGTGTCCTAAGAAGGGTTGCCACGTAAAATACTAGACGCTCAGTTAAATTTGGATATCAGATAAAGAACAAATCATCTTTCAGTATAAGTAGGTCCCAAGAAATATTTGGGTTATGCCTTTTTATTTGCTAACTTTGGCAACCGTAATCCAGAGAGATTCTTTTGGGATACTGGTAATATTTTATTTCTTGATGTTCATTCTGTGATCATCCATTGTGCATTTTCCTGTATATGTGTTGTACTTTACAATTAAAAACAAGTTAAAAAAAAGCAAAAGTACACTCAGTACAGCCTTGCAGATTTTAAAATATCTCATCCGACCACTGTTTTTCCTTCCCACTCTAAATCACTGCGTGTGAGAGCCGTGGTACTTCTGCAGGAGGTGGGCATCTGTAATCTGAAGTGTTGCTGGGCCCAAAGCTGTGGGCTCTACTTTCAATTTTTATTAAAATGACTTTTACACAGCATGCTTCTTTACTTCTGGAATCTTTTTTCATGCCCTGCCTCTCAGAGGTCTTTCTTATTTGTGTGGTTGGCTTAATCTTACCAAAGGGCAGCCTCTACCCATCAGCCAAGAAATACACAAACCAGTGTGCAAGAAGAGAGTTGGACTAACCAGCCAACATGTGGGGGTCAGAATCTAGTGGCCTGAAGCTACAAAGAAAACTGCTACTTTGGGGCCAACAACTTTACGGATAAAGTCAAATGCTTCCCTCTGCTGCCCGCTTTCTGAGTGTATCAGAGGTTTACACAAACACCTGGAGTGGCGCCACCTTGTTCCCTCCCACCAGTGGATTACTTACCTTCTTCCTACAGACACGGGACGATCCAAGTAAAGAGTAGTGACCAGCGGAAACAAAAGCTGAATCATTTTTCCGCTGTTGTTTAAATAAGGTGCTATTCATGGGCAAAAGTTCTTTCCTGCTCAGGGTTTTTTGTGTTGTTTTGTACCTTCATCTTGTTTTGAAATGAACCCTTCCCAATCCAAAATAAAGAAAAAAACTCCTAGTTTGGGTGCTTCTCTCCTTAAAGTTTAGGATCAAACTTTAAGGAACTCTCACCTGCCCCCTACCAGCCTTGAGAGTGCCAGGTTTCTTCACTCTAATAACAAACTTGCTCTCTTTCACACAGGGTATTAAAGATAACGATCAGGCTCCTGGGCCGTGGAGACAGGTTGCCTGGAAGAAACCCAGCTTCACCAGTGAGATTGTGCATCTCTGGCCACTGAGTGACTCATTGCTCTGTGCCTCAGTTTCCTCAACTGTAAAATGGGAATAAAAATACTACCTAATATAAAGGGCTGTCGGGAGCATCAAACGCCGCGTAAAGCGATGAAAGCACATGGCACAACTGAAACGCTCAAGGACAGTTTTAATCATCATCACTACCACTGGCTACCTTTGAGGGTCCTGCCACCCATAAAGACTCTACTTAATGTATGTAATGCAGGAAAAGCATCCAGATGCAGTTTGAGAGATAGGGGGAAGGAGAGGCCGAGAGTAAGGGTTCCGCCAGCCTAGAAAGTTTGGTCCAAGTTGTGCCCAATTCACTTAGAAGGCGAAGCAGCGGCAGGCGGCCTCCACTAGGGTCTGGGAGGTGACCACGCCTGGACCCCACTCCGGCCAGGACTTCTGACCCAGGGCGCCCTCACTACTCACGTTGCGGTTGAGGCTGTAGCCAGGCAGAAACGGCAGGGCCATGGCTCTGAGTGTCCAAAAGTCAAGGGTCCCAGAGGAAAGGGGCCGTTAGGCAGCAGCCGCCCGCGGGCCACGTTGTTTGACCCCCTACGTTACCTAGAGACCAGAGGCGGTGTCATCGAAGGAGGAGGGGCGGCGGCGGGCGGGGGCTCTGGGCGGGGCCCGAGTAGGGGCGGGGCCAGGCGGGCAGCTCCGCGCGCACCTCCTCCCCCGCCCACCCCCGCTCCACTCGGCCGGCGCGTGCAGGTCCCCGAGGCTTTTCTCTCCATCCGCATTGTGCACACACAAAGACTGACAACTACACCATTCCCCGCCCCCGCTGCTTTCTGGTTTAACCCCTTACAGAGCTCAAAGCCTTTCCGGTACTTAAGCTCCTCTGATTCTTGCCACAAAATTTTTTTCCATTTGGTTACTAAATTTAGTTCAGATACACAGAAAAGTGCAGAAAATAATATGACACCCGTGCGCTACCAGAAATGTAACACCAGTTAATGTTACATTTACATCAGCTTTTATTTTGTCATTAAAACGTTCGAGATGAATCCAAAGCCACACAGACCCCATCTGTCTTCGCCCCTCCCCACGAAAACCCATTCAGCGGTAACCACCATCCTCAGTCCTTGCTCTGTACATTTTTATATTTGAACTAAATATTTGTAAAGTGCTCGTTCCTGGCCCAATCAGGGGGGCCACACAGGTCAGGTGGCACAAAACGCGGCCCCTGTCACTCCGTCATGCACCCAAGATGCCCAGGACAAGGGCCTCCTCGATTCCTCTTCCCACACCTGCAGCTAACCCCTCCCTAAGGCCTACTGGTTGGACAAGCTGGTGTCTCTCGGTCACCACTGCCTCTGTCTCGGTTGGGGCCCCATTATTTCCTGCCTAGTTTTCTTTAAAAAAACGACAACAACTAAATGGTCTTGCCTCTTGAGCCATCCTATTACAATTTGTGATGCCCCTGTTACTCTTCTGCTTCCATATTCTTCTAGCCTTTCCGGCCCCTTCAGGTCGCCAACTCCTCAGCCGGGTCAGAGCCTCAGTCAGGGGGCGCCTACCAATGCCCTCCATCCCTGTCTTTGCCCTCCTCCTCTACTCCAGCTCTGAAAAACCACTGGCAGTTTCCACACCAGACTGCGGTTTCGTCCCTCTGGGATTTTGCAAATGTCACTCACTATCTGCTAGAAACACTCTTCCTTCCTATCTTTCACCTGGGTAGCCTCTTCTTGTCTTCCAGGACTTGGTTCAGTGTAGGAGAGAGGCGTGGAGGCTTTGCCATTTCTGGGAAATGGTCTTTCAGCTTCTCCACTCCCTAATCTGTATTAGGTGTTCCTTCTGTGGCTTTCTCGGTGCTGCATCGTAACCATGCGTTTACTTGACTCTCTTCAGAGGCCCCCAAATTCCTCCAGAGCAGAGACTCTATCTCCTTTTTGATTCATAAACAGCATACATTATTTTCTGTTAATAAATTTTACACTACAAATTTCTGCCACCTGCCTTTTTCACTTAAGATTTTATTTTTGAGATTTCTACGTTAACACATATAAATACATTTCATTCATTTTAAACACATTGTATGGTTATACCACAAATTACTGATCCATCTTTTGTCATCTGTTGATGACAATTAGGTTGTTTCCAATTTTTCATTTGTTGCCAACAATGCTGCATCCACAATCCCCTCCTATTCCTTTGAAGATTATCTAGGCTACTACCCTGAGCTAGAACGGTTCACACCTTCAACTTTACTAGATCTTGCTAAACAATCTCCAGAATCTTCGAACCCCCAATTTAAAAAGTTCCCTTTCCCCTTCATCCTTTCAACAATGGGTACTATCAAATTGTATGATTTTGAACAATCGTCTTACCAAATGTGAAATGGTATACCATTCTTATTTTGTTTCTCGCTAATTCCTAGTGCAATTAGTTGCCTTTTCACATCTTGTTACCTTCTTCTGTGACTCATCTATTCATATCCTTGGCTGATTTTTCTATTTGACCTTTTTTTTTTTTTAAGATTTTATTTTTTCCTTTTTCTCCCCAAAGCCCCCCGGTACATAGTTGTGTATTCTTCGCTGTGGGTTCCTCTAGTTGTGGCATGTGGGATGCTGCCTCAGCGTGGTCTGATGAGCAGTGCCATGTCCGCGCCCAGGATTCGAACCAACGAAACACTGGGCCGCCTGCAGCGGAGCGCGCGAACTTAACCACTCGGCCACGGGGCCAGCCCCCCTATTTGACCATTTTTAATTTTTTAAATATATTCAGGATACTAATCCAAGCATGGCAAATATCTTCTCATCATTTGTGGTTTGTCTTTTAACTCCATTTCTAGAGTTCTTTATGGTACACGAATGTGTCATTTTACTCTGTTCAACTAGAGCATTCTTTCTCATTATGGTTTGTGTTTTGTATATGAATTCCAAAAATCCTATAGAACAAAATTATTCTCCTACATGTTCTTACAAATATTTTCAAATATTTCTTTTTTGTTACTTTTTAAATTAAAATGATTTCAAACCAATAGAAAAGTTGCAAGAATAGTACAAAGAACTCCTGCTTACCCTTCACACAGATTACCCCAATTGTTTTGTATTTTACCATAGTTGTTTTATCATTCTCTTATATATACAATTTTTTCCATTTTAGAGTAAATAGCAGACATCGTGCCCCTTTACCCCTAAATACTTCAGTGTACATTTCCTAATGACAAGGACATTATCTTACATAACTGAAGTACAATAATCAAAATCAGAAAATTAGTGTTAATAAAATACTATTTTCTAATCTAAAATACTTATTCAAATTTTGTCGATTGTCCCCAAAATATTTTTAGCAAAAAAATTAATTTTAAACAATCTGTCCCAGAATCTGATCCAGTATCACAGAATAGTTGTCACATCTCTGTATTCTCCTTTAATCTGGAACAGTGCCTCCATCTTTCTTTGTCTTTCTGACCTTGATATTCTTGAAGAGAACAGGCCAGGTATGTGGTAGAATGCTCTTCAGTTTAGGTTTGACCGATGTTTCTTCATGAGTAGATTGGTGGCTTTTTGTTTATGGCTTTTTGGCAGGAACGCCACAAGAGGAATGCCATGTCCTTCTCATTCATCAAAGGAGCAGGTGCATAATGCGTATTTTATCCATCAGTGGTGAGGTTAATTTGATCACCTGGTTAAGGTGATGTATGCCAAGTTTCTCCACTATAAAGTTACTGTTTTTCCTTTCCGATTAATAACCATTTTGTGAGGAGATACTTTGAGACTATGTGAATACCAAGCATCAACTGAGGATTTTGCCCAAACAGTTTATTACCATGATAGCTGCCAGATGGTGATTTCTTTACTCCAGCATTGCTTCTACATATACTAGTTGGCATTCTACTACAAGGAAGTCCTTTTCTTTCCTCTCCATTTATTTATTTATTCATTCATTTATATCAGAATGGTCTACAGATTCTTATTTTATTCAGTGGATTATAATCTTTACTATTGTTATTTATTTTGATGCTAAACTTGTCCTACCTTTGGTCAGTGGGAGTCCCTCTAAGCTGACTATTCCATCTTTTTTATTGTCCCCACCACTTTTTTTTAACACAGCTCTTTTTGATGAGTAAGATTGGCCCTGAGCGAACATCTGTTGCCAATCTTCCTCTTCCCACTGCCCCCCAAACCCCAGTACATAGTTGTATATCCTAGTTGTAAGTCATTCTGGTTCCACTATATGGGATGCTGCCACAGCATGGCTTGATGAGCGGTGTGTAGGTTCACACCCAGGATCCAAACCAGCCAATCCTAGGCCACAGAAACAGAGCACACGAATGTAACCACTTGGCCATGGGGCCAGCCAGTCCCCACCATTTTTCAAGCACTTCCTTGTGCTCTGTCACTACAAGATATTTGAGATATCTACAGATATAGGTAGATATAGATATGCACATATGACTATATTTTTTCCATTTCTTTCTATCACTAGATAGATACAGATATGGATATATGTAGTAATAGATGTATTAAAACCCATGAGTTTATACTGGTATGGCCAATTCCAGTCAACACAATAGAATACATGCTCCAGTTCCACTTTCCACATCTGTAATGCCCTTCTCAAACAGTAAGAAACCTGAATCCAATTACCCTGAAAATATTTACTTATTTGTTCAATACTAAAAGACCCCCAAAGCAGTTTCAGGATGTGTAACTTACGTCATTGTGAAAAACAAACCTACTAACCAGAGTTCAATATTTGTTTTCAGGCTTTTCTCTTTAGTGCTTATGTATTTAGTCAAAATACTGTGTTGCACAATGGCTTGGGTTTGTTTTCC